CGCGCCTTTCTGCAGCTCGACAAACGTGTTTACACTGAAGCAAGTGGCACTCAAAAGGCTGCCCCTAATGACCAGCCCGTCATTTAAACACACACACACACACACACACACACACACACGCCTATAGGTGCCTATAAGGATTGACTTTTAATTAGCATGTTCGCTCGTTTTAGTAACTTTTTGCTAATTTAGCTTTAGCATATGTTTTGATGAATTTAACAACTTTTCTGCTGCTTTTATGTGTTGACAAGTCAAATCTTTAATAGAACTAAAACACTTAGAAAGCAAAAGCCCTTTTTTTTTTTTTTCCTCGCTGGATTTATTGTCTCCAACTAAAGTAATAAATTATTCCTGAGCAAATTCCTGCAAGTAAAACAAATATCATAAACTGAGAATAAATATCAGCAGCAGGGGTTCTGTTTTGGATCAGCCTAAAGCGACGACCAAGTGTAGAAACAACACGCGGACTATAAATTTACAGACAATTTCCTTAGAAAGCCCAGCAGAATGAGGAGCCCCACAAATAAACACGGGCAAAGTGTCCAGCAAATAATTCACGAAGGCCTGTGGAGTCATCGATCAATCGCTCCGAGACAAACCAGTGCACGTTTAGTCACGTTCAGCGCCCGCATGGTATCAGCACGCAGGAACAGGCGAAACAACGTTTACACTGAACAAGTGAAGAGGGGATGAAAAGAGATGGATACAAATTATAGAAATTAACTCAAAATCAACGATAACTGGAGAAACTGCATTTACTGCGACAATACAGTGTGAATGCTGAAAAACAGCTGAAATTAGCTAAAAACAAGCTAAAATGCAGTTGAAAGGGAAGAGCAAGCCTAAGTTAGCAGAAGAAAGCAGAAAGAACACATATTTGCTGAATTAGGTTTAAATAAGCAGAAATGAGCACAAAAATTAGGAAATTAGCTAAAAAAGCTGAAATTAGCACAAAAATTGCTGAAAAGTAACTGAAAAGGCAGAAAGAAGCTTAAACTACCAGAAGGTAGTGCTGAAAAAAATGTGGAATTAGCTAAAAAAAACCCTAAATTTAGCACAAAAACAGCTAAAAAGATGCTGAAAAGCAGAAAAAGTTGAAACTAGAAGAAAAAAGTTGAAAGGAGCATAAGCTGAAATTAGCAGAAAGAAGTTAATTTGGCTGAAAGTCGTTAAAATTACTATGAAAAACATGAATTTATTTGAAAACAAATGAAATTAGCTAAAAAAGTATTTTTTAAAAAGTAGCTGAAATGGTATAATAAGCTTAAATTAGCAGAAGCAAGTAGAAAGGACACATATTTGCCCAGTTAGGCTGAAAAAAAAAAGCAAAAATTAACACAAACAAGTGGAAAGTGTCTTAAAAAAGCTGAAATTATCATAAAACAGCCGAGAAGTAACTAAAATAGAAGAAAGCAGCTGAAATAACAAGAAGGAAACGGAGAGAGCACATTTTTGCTGAATTGGGCTGAAAAAAGTTCAAATTAATGAAAAAATATGTGGAATTAGCTGAAAAGACTTAAATGAACATAAAACAGCTAAATAAGAGCTGAAAGAGTATAAATCATTGAAACATGCAGAAATAAGCTGAAAAGGGCATAACAAGCTAAAATTAGCAGAAAGATGTTAGAAGAAACACAAAAATGTAGTTAGCAGAAAAAAGCTGAAAGGGGCACAAAACAGCTGAAGAAAAAAAAACAGCTGAAAGAAGCTGAAGCAGAACTAAACGTGAACGGAGCAGTAAAAGGCTGTAAACAGATCTAAAGACTTGAAGGACGTAAAATGAGCTCAATTCATTTTCTATGAGGAAAAAAAATGGCAGAAAAGGCTAAATATTTCAAAAAAGCTAAAGTTGCACCAATACCAAAAGTCTAAATGCAGGATTGTCCTGAAACAGCTGAATGTTTTGAACATCCGCACAATGAGAGAGTTGTTAATAAAAAGCACGGCGTGTGTTTGCGTGCATGTGCTTATGGAAGTTCCTGTGTGTAAGAGGCTTGGCTGTGCATGTGTAAACAACCGTGCACTGATGGTTAAAAGAAGCTGTGTGGTCCACGTGCTTAAGGTCTGTGAGGATAAGACACTAATTTGTACAGTAACTGAAAACATCTCAGACCTAAAACTACAAAAACAGCCGTTAAGCAGCGAAACGCTTCGTCTCAAAAAACTGAAAGTTTTCCTTCTAACAGGGTTCTTGGTGTGTACACACACACACACACACACACACACACACACATTATCCTTTGGCTTTTAAAACAGGATGTTGGAGGTATTAAGTGGTGTTTGATTTCTTCCTCTGCACCCTTCATCAACTCAGTGACACCCCCTTTGTCACCACAGGAAATCATGACTACTACAAACCCACACTGGATGGATTCCAGCGAGACGCTGAGAGCAGCGTTTTAATAAATTGTCCTGTTCTTTCTCTGGACCTTTATCATTGATCAGGACTTAAACGGAGCGGTTTTTAAACCAGTGAACTGGAGTTTGTTTATAAGCTGCGGTGAAGGTGCCATATGATGCGGCTCAGGACAAACATTTTCTTGGTACGATGCAACGGATGGTGAAGATGTAGAGGAACCATCAGTGGCAGGCCAAAGCCTTTTGGACCTCAGCGCCCGCAGACAGAGTGGGGCTCAGAGGACCTTATCCACAGCTCTCTGAACCACCAACACGTTATCCCTGTGGGGTTTGCCTGATAACACAGGCCTTGTTGATAACAGCAACCCAGAGCTCAGACTACTCCAACACCGTAAGCTGCCTCGTTAATCTGACGGCTACTGGCCTATCACAAGTCCGTCACCAGCTCAGCGGCACCTCACCAGCTTCAAACCAGCGGTTATCACTACAGTCTAACAAGCAAACAAGGAGAATAATCACAGCCTGCTGTCTACAGGAGCCACCCCCGCCCCCACTCAAGACATTTTACAGACACAATGTTTTTCCTTCAACTGCAGAGAAAATAAAGAAAATTGCCAAACATGTTTTTTTTTATGTTTGAAGACAAGTTAATACTAGAGAAACCATTTCCTGTGAAAATGCAGTGTGAATGTTTATTGCTGAAGAACAGCTGAAATTACCTAAAACATGCTGAAATGGAACAACAAGCCCAAGTTAGCAGAATAAAACAGAAAGTGCACATATTTGCTGAAATAGGTAAATAAGCAGACATCAGCACAAAAATGAGGAAATTAGCTAAAAACGCTTAAATTAGCCACACAAAAAAAAAAACAGCTGAAAAGGCAGGAAGAAACTTGAACTACCAGAAGGAAGTGGAATGAGCTGAAATTAGCAAATAAATGTGTAATTAGCTGAAAAAGCTAAATTTAGCTCAAAACAGCTAAAAAGTAGTTGAAATAGCAGAAAAAGCTGAAACTAGCAGACAAATGCTGAAAGGAACATAAGACGAAATTAGCAGAAAGAAGTTAATTTGGCTGAAAGTAGCATAAATTACCACAAATTTTTTTTGAATTTATCTAAAAACAGCTGAAATGAGCTAAAATGTAAAAAAAAAAAAGTAGCTGAAAAGGAAGAAGAAACTTAAATTGGCAGAAGAAAACAGAACGAATATGTTTGCAAAAATAAGCAGAACTGAGCACAAAAAAGAAGAAATTATATTAAAAAAAAAACAGAAATTAGCAAAAAAAATAAAAATAAAACAGCTGAAAAGTAGCTAAAAAGCAGAAAGAAGCTGAAATTACAAGTGGAGAGAGCACATTTGTGTTGAAATAGGCTGAAAAAAGTTGAAATGAGTGCAAAAAATGTGGAAATAGCTGGAAAAAAGCTTACATTAGCATAAAAACAGCTAAATAGTAGCTGAAATAACAGAAAAAGCTAAAACTTGCAAAAATAAGCGCTGAAATTAGCAAAAACAAATAGAAGAAGCTCAAAAATGTAGTTAGCAGGAACAATCTGAAAGCAGCACAACTGAAAACACCTGTTCATCTAAAAGTAGCTAATACAACGCTGCTTAAAACAATTAGCAAATAACTGTTTGGTGTCAACTCAAAATATTTCTAACATGGATGGATACTCCTGACGATTTGAACAAAACTTTCAAGAGTTAATCACTGGATCTACAAGTGATTTTAAAAAGTCAATCCAGTTTAAGATGCAGTTTGCAGTGTCCTTACACGGGCTCCATTTTAAAATTACATCCTTTTCCAGACACGGTCAAAGATTTCTGCAGCTATTTTTAAACATATTTGACGTGAATGTTTATTCAGTGAAAAAATAAAATAAAATAAAAAAATTGGACATTAGAATTTCTTTTCTCCATTTATGGTTTGTAATACCAGCGGTAACGCCTTCTTTCATAAAAAATAATGTTCACTGGGTAAAACCCTTGCACGCTGTAGGACTGGGCTACGTTTTGGCTGAAATATTATGTACTATGTGTGTGTATTATGTGGAAAAAAGAAAAATCATAAAGTTTAAAAAATAATAATTTCATGTCCCTATTCAGCTTTTATTATTATATAGAAATATGACGTCTAAAACAGCCCCAAGTTGGCAGAAGTAGAATAATTGTGAAAATTAAAACATGAAAAGCTAAAAACAAAAAAGTGCAACAATAAGTGACCGCGGTTTCCTTCAGAGCCTCCATCACACAGTTCAGGTAAACGTGACGCTTTCTACCTGCCCAGGAGTTACTTACCGTCACTCTTCTGCAGATCATCACTTATGGTGCAAATAACAATATTATTATTTAGACGATTTCCCCCACAAGCTGCCTCGACATAAAGCTGAAATATATACTGTATATTTTATGTATGGGTAATAATCTGCTTTTACATACAAGCATATTTATCAATACTTAGTGGAAGAAACTTGACGTTTCAACATAAAGAGTGGATTTGAGCTGTAAAGCTCATTGTTGGAGGTCAAACACCTGAGACACAGCTACTGCGTGTGTACACTCACTACAATTTTTAGAAGATTTCATCTTTTCAAAAAAAAAAAATGCAACAAGAAATAGTGCTTGTATTGTTAATATTTAATACCTGGTTCCTCCGAAAAGAATAATTCGATCTCCGACCATACAGCAACACTGACGCCTCCTCGGACATGGACCTTTCCCTTTGGGCTCGACTTTCTTCCAGGAGAACGCTTCTGTAATGTGAGACGAGTATAACGTTTAAATGGCACAGATCGATATTAAAAACTCAATGAAGAAATGTGACATATTTGCACAACCTATTTTGTTCAAAGCACGAGCTCTCAAAGATACATTTCCTTACGTTTTCTTTAAAAACCTCAGCAGAGAGATGTTGATGCAGGACATCGAAGCTCTTCAGTCTAATGGAGTTTTATTTGGTTCCGTCAGCATCATTATAAACGAAGCTCGAGATTAAGAAGCTCTTACAAGAAGAACAAATTCTAGGGGTTTGTGATCGATGAGCTCAATGTCGGCCTGCTCCAGTGTTTTCCCCGTTAACGTGTTTTTGAAGATGCAACAGAACAACAGCTGCTTGGCAGAGCTCCACGGCTCTCACCGACCATGATGATGTCATACAACAAATCACAGGAAGTAACTTGTTTTGCTGAAGTGAACCAAATGATTCACATTACCAATGAATCCTAAACTTTCCATTTTAGGCCGACACAAAGCCACTTCTGTTCTGTGAATCATAAAAATGACCGAGGACGATGAAGTTCCCTCTTTTGTAGCGTATAAGGCTGAAGTGTAGCCTCACACTTAAACGTCACTCCATCTCCATAGCAACAGGCCGTTTGTGCTTGGATAATAACAGCTCTAATCAAGGTGCTGCCCTCTAGTGGACAGCAAACCACACGCCTGCAGGGTTTGTGTTTATTGTCATATGCAGATCAACACAAGGTCAACAATCCAATGAAGAACCGTCTCGACTCGCCAAAACAACAAGAACAAACACCAACGCACGCAACAAAAATACAAAAACAAGGCGCCAAAAGGGAAAAAGAAATACATTTTCTGTTCAGTCCCCTGAGATGACTTCTGCTGTGACTTGGCGCTATATAAATAAACCGAGTTTAATTGAACCTACAGCAGCATGGTCCTATTAGCAGAGTGGTTCTGTTAGCAGAACGATGATAATAAAGATTGCAGCAACGGACGATGGCTGCCCTCCAGAACCAAGCAACTCGTTGTCTACTGGCGTAGACAATGAGTAGGATGTTGTTTGGCTATAATTATATTTTGGTTGTGACACAAAATCTCAAAATGATGAGATCTAAAGATTTTATCTGCGTCAAGAAAAGGGACGTCCGACTCTCTGCATAATAATAAAAAGAAACGGTCTCTGTTGTGAAACTAGTAATGATGCTGAGGGAGGGAAGGACTGTCTGCACACGAAGTGGTTCAACACAAACCTGCACTGCGTTAGTGATCGCGCATGGCGTCCAAGAGCAGAAACATTTCTAAACTCTTGCAGGAGTGGTCAAACTGCAGCAGAACTGTACAGCAGCTACACGGGTCACTTGTGCCCAAATGGGAGTTACAATGAAAATCACCTGGATTGAACTTCCAGAGATCGTTGAAGTGTCGGTCCAGACGGGCGTTGTAACCTCCAAATATGTAGAGCTCCCCGTTGTACGCGACTAAAAACAGAAACAAATCCATTTTTAGGTCGATCACAAAGATCGATGACATAAAGAGATCGCATGACGGCAAAACTACCTGGATTTTTCTAATTAAGACAACGTGAGCCCAAGTATTGTTTGTATGTTTAACACACAAAGTCCTGCGCTGGAGAAGGAAACTGAGAAGTTCAGTATCCCTCCCAAAGAATCCTTTAACTTTTTTTTGACGATAAGTCTCCAAAGATAAAAAATGAAAGAAGGCATTAGTTTTAGACCAAGATCAACTCAAGCTGGTGCATATTAAACATTTAAAAGCAGTGATCCCCATGTGTGTGTGTGTGTGTCTTACAGGCTGAGTGGCTCCTCCGTCCTTCTGGTAACGGCTGCGTTAAAGGAGTGCTCAGCCAGCAGTTGGTCTCCGTGTCGAACACCTTGATCTTGTTGCAGTAGATCTCGTTGTTGGAGTGGAAGGGACCGAAGCGATCTGCCCTCCCTCCAAATACAAACATTTTTGTCCCTATGATGGTGGCTGAGTGGAAGTCTCTCCATCGTGCCGGCGGGCCCTTTAGCACAAAAGAAACACACGACTCCTGCTGTCACTTTCACACTTTGTACCTCAGAATGTTGTGGAAAAATAAATAAAAACCCGATGCATACGAAGCCTAAACATAAAAATATTGATGGTATTATTAGCTTAAAATGTATTGTGCTCATTACAGCATGCCTAATAATAATCCTTTTTATTTTTAACCACCAGATAGATTAACAGGCAAACAGCACCACCTGGTGGATCTAATTACTAACTACACAAACAGGACCTTCAAGCGCAACGATTTCTTTAACACGTTTAGAGGATGGACAGAATCTACTAAAAGTCAGTCCTACAGTTAAAATCCAGCTCGCAGTGATTACAAGAGAACCATAAATAAAAACACAAAAGTGAAACACGATCTGCACAACGCTCTGCAACTAAACCACGTGTCAAATTCAAGGCCCGCGGGCCAAATCTGGCCCTTGTGAACATCTTAGCTGGCCCCACAAGTAAAATATTTCAATGCTTCTCGTTTCCTTAAAAAAAAAGATAATCATTTCATTTAGTGCAGATTTCCCATGACAACTAGCTAAATGTTGGATTTTTCAGTAGTGATCAAAATATCAAATGATCAAACACGTGCAGATGAACCTGCAACAAAGAAAAGATGTCGGGCATCGACTGTAATTGGTTCGTTCCCTGAACAAACTATTTAATTTTGGCCCCCATTTATAAGAGTTTGACATCCCTGAAATGTTTCTACTTTATTATTATTTTTACCTAATTACGAACCAATTCCTTTTACGTACTCTTTCCCAAAAATTGTTGCAATTGTGTCTTTGTTTTAAACAAGAAAAACTAGATTTTTATTTAGCTATTTTTTTTTAAACACATACCGTCATAGTCATGGTAAAAATAAATACACCTTCTTTATATTCTCATGTTTTACACATTAGTGTAATAAAAAAAAAGATCTGGTCTGGTTCAAAACTGATCAAATCTAACCTCTAGGGTTCAAAACACGCACCTGATCCACCGTGTCATTATTTATTAAACGTGAAAAGGCTGCGGCTCCCAGAGGTACGACTCGTCTCAGCTCGTTGTGCTTCAGCTCAGTGAGGTGTCTGCTCAGCTCTCCGACGGTCCCACCACAGCATTCGGTTCAGGCCCGTTCTGTTGCAGATCAGCTGCTGGCTTTGGGAACAAGGTGGACCTAGTTTGGTCCAGGTTTCGGCTGTCCAACAGATGGACTCACGTTTGACTCTAGAATCCTTCGGACCTCGGGGAAAAAAACCTCCGTCTTGTTGAAGCTCCAAAATTCACAGTTGAAACCCGTGCCTTCGTCTGAAGCAGGGGACCCAGAGTGGGGCCCACGGGCCAAAGTTGGACCACCAAACTGTCCTCATTACCATATTAAAATTTCCTTTCAGGAATCAATGTGTTTACACTCACTGATTCCACCCATTGACTTTAATGTTAGTCGGCCTGACTACCGTAATGGCACTACACAGATCAAACAGTAGAGTGATTAATCTGTGTATTTTTAAAATAATTTTAGTAATTTATATTCTTGTGTTTTATTTGGACAGACTTCCTACCTTCCCTCGGCAGCTTCCTGCTATTGAATAACATTTTCCTTTGACAGGTCCTTTTGAGGGACGTTGGTTGGACGCTACATTTTATTGCATTGGGCCCCCGGCCCTCTGATAGATTTTAAATTTGTCCCTCTCAGGGAAAAAGTTTGGGCACCGCTGGTCGTAAGAGTTGTTGTTCTCTGCAAAAAGAAGCTGAGAACTTGTTTAATGATTTTTTATTAAAAGCTTTGTGTGAAAAATGCTAAAGAGCTCAAACCACACCGAGCGTCGGCCATTTTGAGAACTGAAGAGAGACAGCCCATGTCACGTCAAGGGGCCTCCCTCCCATTTTTCTTAAAGAGACGCTGCTCGCTCCCTCACTATCCATCCTGCAGTTCAAACAGTCTTATACTGCCATCCGGTGGTTAATAAAGGTACTACGCACAAAAATTAACCAACATTTCTTCTTAAGTTTGACAATAATTACTAATTATTGTCAAATTTCAAACAATGTTATTGTTTATCGCAATAATTTCTGAGACAATTAATCGTCCAGAAAAAAAACTGTTATCGTGACAGGCCTAACAGTACATCTACGTATGTTGTTAAAATCACGTAGGTTTAAAAGAACATTCCAAGAGTGTGGGAAGGGTTTCTAAAGCCTTAAAACATTAAAATACTAAAATAAATATAGCGTTCCTACTTGGCGGGTTTTCACTTACTGCTTGGGGGTCCTGAATGTAACCCCTGTGATAAACGAGGTACTACTGTATTATGGAACAACTGGCTTAGATTTTACAATACAAAACCAAATTTAGAGCTTTACACGAGGTTTGAGTTAAATTAATACTAAAATGTATTTTGTTAGTTTGACTGTTAAACGTCTGAAAACGTGGGGAAAAAGTGTCCCTCATAATATTAAATCTTTAAAAACAGTCATTCTTCCTGATCATTGTTAGATTACCCCATTGAATAAATTGCTTTCCATACAATCAAACAGATGTATGGAAGGGATTTTCAATAAAATAAATTATAAATCATTTTGAATGTTTAGTTAATGTCCTGTTGAGCTTTAAAGACAAACTGAAGCTGCTGCCAGCTTTTTCTATATTTGTATTTCTTAGAGGGATCACGTTCAGCCTATTTTTAACTGTTTTTGGAGCCATAAATTCCAGGAGATCTTCTAAAAATAAACAACAACTGGTTATTTCAACTCACTCTGGCATTTATTAACGACCAAACCATGGCGGTGGTGTCCAGCTTGTGGATGTCGTTGGAGAAGCAGTCGGCCTAGAAAACGGCAACGAAAGACAATTCAGTCAAATGTCGTTTCCACTGAGGATCACGGTGAAGATCAACGAAGACTCACCAGCTGCTCATATCCTCCAAATATATACATCGCCTTCCCTAAGACGCAGGCTGAGTGGCCGTCCCGCGCTCCGGGAACTGTCCCTGAAATCTTGGGCGTGTGCCATCTGTGGGTATCTGCAACGCACAGATCAGTTAGAAAGTACTGGCTTTCGATGCAAAACCAGTAAACAGATGCAGGTGTCGGCGCTCAGACATCGGTTTCCTCAAAGTTCAACGTCAAACAGCTGCACCTGAGAGGAAACGAGGCGACGGAGCCGTACTTACTGACATCAAAGGCGTAAAGCACATTGCAGGCCCCCTCTGTGTCGTTGCGCCCACCCCAGAGATAGATCGTATCCTCCAGCAGCACAGCTGTGTGGCCGTAACGCATGTATGGTACTTCACGGGCGCGCTCGTGTCCTCCTGTCCTCACGGGGGGCAGCTTCATCCAGCGCAGGGACACTGAAAGACGAAACAGAGAGTACACGCCTGATTGCTGTTTTTGTAATGTTTTGTTTGTGTGTCCTGTATCTCGTCACGCAGCTTGGAAATAAAACGTGCAAACTCTGCTCCTAAACATCAAACGTGTGGGAAAAGTTACGGACGTCAATGAGATTTGGGCTAAACGTGTAAGAAAAAAACAGCTTTGGAGTAAAAATCAGTCAATGTTTAAACGGGTCACAGAAAGATGGACTTTATAAATCTTTTATGTTTTATTAGACGTGTCGCAATAACTAATTTTGCTGGGCGATTAAATGTCTCAGAAATTGTTGCGATAAACGATAATATTGTTTGAAATTTGACAATAATTAGTAATTATTGTCAAATTTAAGAAATGTTTGTTAATTTGTTTTGCATTTAGTACCATTTTTTGACCACCGGATGGCAGCATAAGACGGTTAGAACCGAAGGATGGATAGTGAGGGAGCGAGCAGCGTGTCTCTTAAAAAAATGGGAGGGAGGCCCCTTGACGTGACATGGGCTGTCTCTCCTTCCTGTTTTTCGGTTCTCAAAATGGTGGACGCTCAGTGTGGTTTGAGCTCTTCAGCATTTTTCACACAAAGCTTTTAATAAAAAATCAAGTCTCAGCTTCTTTTTGCAGAGAAAAACAACTTTTTACACAAAGGCACGAGTTTCAACCGTGAATTTTTGGAGCTTCGACAAGACGTTTTTTTCTCAAGGTCGGCCTGTTAGCTTAGCTCGTAGCTTAGCTTCTCGGCGTAGCTGCTTTTAACGACCCAAAAATGCGATTTTGACGGTTAAAACAGATTTTAAAGAGAAAAAAGAAAGAGAGGGGTCAGTGAAGAACACCGGGGTTGATCTTTATATCATCCAGTGTCTTCAGTAGAAAGAGAGACACGAAGAAACGATAAAGCCGATAAACAAAATGAGGTTGATAATTTTCATTTATCATGAGATTAACTGATTTGTTGTTTATCGTGACAGACCTATGTTTTATACAAATTCACAGTTTAAGTTTGATGTTTGTTTTTTTTTACAGTTTTTCGAATGAATGTTCAACTGACAGCTGATGATGTTGCTAACGTTTGAACTGTCTAAAATATTCAAATCTTTTGCAAACTCTTTTTACTCCTACAACTATTCACGGTACATGTACAAATTAAACATGGAAATGTTTTTGGGTTTTTTTTACCCCAGTGTGTTTCTCACTGCCATTGAAAGTGTGTGAACCTTTTAGAATTGTCTGTATTTCTGCATAAATCTGACCTAAAACATCATCAGATTTTAACACAAGTCCTAAAAGTAGATCAAGAGAACTCAGTTAAACAAATGAAAACGTCAGAACATCTGTCCAAGAACTGAATCTAAAGGGAAGCTGGGTCACGCAGCGAGACATTGACCCTCAGCACACAAGATGTTCTACCAAAGAATGGTTCAAGAAGAATAAAGTTCATGTTTTGGAACGGCCAAGTCAAAATCCAGATGTTGTGGAAGGACCTGAAGCTGCAGTCAATGTGAGGAAACCACCAACATCCAGAGTTGAAGCTGTTCTGTTCGGAGGAATGGGATAAAGTTCCTCCAAGGTGATCAGGACTGATCAACAGTTACTGAACTTTTTTTTTTTTTTTTTATAAAGCTCAATAATTCATGTAATCCAACAATTTTCCGTCAGGTCATCTGGACAGTTTCTTTGTTACCAGGGGTCACACCAGGTACTGAAAGCAAAGGCTCATATACTTTTACAACTCACAAATATGTAATATTGATAATTTCCTCAAGAAATAAATGACCACGTATAATATTTTTGACTCATTTGTTTAACTTGTTTCTCTTTATTTACTTTTAGGACTTGTGTGAAAATCTGATGATGTTTTAGGTCAAATTGATGCAGAAACATAGAAAAATCTAAAGGGTTCTCAAACTTTCAGCCATAAGATTTACTCTCAAATTACCCCAGCAAGCTGAGAATGTCCAGCCGAGCTTCTGTGTTTTAGCTCTAATTATTCTCGTCATAACTGGACGTGAAGGGTCTGTTTTTGAACGTGTCATATCTCGTTCATAACTCACGGCAGAAGCGTAAAAAACGACACGTGTGACCCTCAAATGAAGAACCGTGAACCTCAGAGTTTTCTGTCGTTAGTGGCTCAAGAATAATTAAAAAAAAGACTTATTGTTCAAAAGTTAATAAAGTGGCAGGAAACAACAGTTATGGTGAAATTCATATCATATTCAGCTGCAGATCTGGTCCCACTTTTCTTTCTTTAAGAAACAGCTAGCGCAGGTAGGATCAGCTGCTTGAGGTAACTGTAAAACTCCAAAGCAGCTGGCTGACCTCACAGAACAAAACTACATAAATGTGTTACGAGAAAGACTCAAGAATTGTGTTTTTAAAGAATCGGAGCAGAATGGTGACAGACAAACACCCGTTTGTGACTTAGCAACAGAAAAAAAACACACCTGTCAAAAACTATTTCACTAACCACAACGGAAAGTTTGAAGTTCATCACGAGCTCCTGTCAAAGTGCAGTAAACTTCCAAACGCTCATATCTTTACTGGGCATTGTGAAAAAACAAACCGCGCAGAAAATACACACATTTTACTGACAAGACAATTATACTAGTTTTTTCAAATCTACTAAAAGTTAAAAAAGTTGTTTTCACAGTCAATATTATTTGAACCACTTAAAAAAAATACTACTTTAAAGACATAAACCTCTAAATAAATAAGAAAATGAAAACTTACAGATATTTTGGCACCCATTTTTTTTAATTAACATCTTTTAACAAGAAGTGTAAATGTTTTCCAGCCTTGCTTTGGGAAAGTGAAATATTCTACTTCGTACCTGTGTTAAAGACGTGCACATCGATCTGACGGAGGGTCTCGTAGTCCTCCCCGGAGCAGTAGCCTCCAAAGGAGTAAACCTTGTGCCCCACCGCCACAGCAGCATGGTTGACTCTCCGCGGCCCTCCTTCTAGGTGCACCGACCAGTGCAACATTCCACGCGCAGGCACCTCTGAGACTCCCGAGTCCTTACACCATCACTTTGCTACCCGCTCGGGCTCCATCAAAGCCCATACCACTGAATCCTGTGATCAAAACAAGAACGACATCACTCGGTGTTCAAGAACAATAAATTCAGGGAAGGAATCCAGTAAAACCCAAAGTATAACTGTTCTCTTGGCTAACTCGGCTCTGCTGGTGCTGACAGGCTCACAAGCCCCCGTTTCTAAGCTGGGAGAGTATTTTAAGAGGTGATTAGACCCACACCTACCAGTGCTTGTTCTTTCTGTTCACTCCTCTCTCTGCACCCTCCCATTGTCCCCAAAGAGTGCATTCAGAATAGCATTAAAACAACAACGCTCGACAGGAGTGCCATACGCTTCAAATAAATCATTATCAAAGCACACAAACAGATCAGCTGATCAGTTTTCAACAAACAGTAAAGCCGTAATCGCTTGATTTTAGGATTTTTTTATTTTTTTTTATAATTGTGGAGGTTGGCGTTACATGACTGGATGATCTAACGACAGAGGGTTTGATGTATGACAGTTATAAACACTAAAGGAGGACACTGCTTCACAGGCATAAGTGTTAAAAATACATGCAGGTGCAGATTCCAAATGTTTAACAGTAAAAATAAAAAATATGAGTGAATAAATAAGGGTGAATATTCTCATTGCAAAGTATAAAATCAAACATAAAAAGGCTATAATGACGTATACCACGTGGCGCAGTGTGAAAGGTTTGACTCCAGTACTTTTCCAGATATATTGATATGCAGGTACGCACTCGGTGTAAACGAATAACTCGGCTGAATCTGCTGAGTCAGCCTGTTCAGGTTAAAAAAATAAAATAAAGTAGAAACTTGTGAGTTTTTAAGGTGGAGAAAATTGAAAGATCTTTTAAAAGAGCTGTCAAGAATAATTATCAGGGATCGGTCAGGGTGGTGGAGAGCATTCAAACACACCGAGCTTTTATTAAACCTCTGCAAGACCGGTAAGTTCAGCGTTCGACCCGTTTCCTGGCACGTGCAGAAACGCACAGTAGTTGCACGACACATTAATCACGGATATGAGGAAAAACACTGCAAATGTGTTTATTAGTTCTGCTTAGTTGTTTATCAGCTCCTCAATAAATAATGTTTTTAAACAATACAATATCTTGATAATCAAAAGTGTGTTTAGTTCAAACCATTTTTAAATGTTGAAGTGAACTACTCATTTTAAATCAACTGTGAAACAGCATTAATGATTTTTTTTAATCCTCATTCAAAGTAGAAATCAAGTTAAATGTCTGTTACAAAGTAATTATGCATTTTTTGATCTTCTGTCTGAAATGAGAAAGGTGTGATGTCGGTCAAAAGTCGGAGACAGTCGCAAACAAGTTTATTGGAACGAGCTGTCATGTTTTTAAACCTCTCAGACAGAAACAAGGAAGCTGGCACCTGTGAGTCTGTCATTTCCCCAAAACATTTCTCTGTCTGTTCCTAAACATCTTCGCTGTTTTCTGACTTGGAATAACCCTCTGACGTCACTAAATATATATAGATATGGATGTTTCTGTTCAGTGCCCTGAGATGACCTGTTGTGACTTGGCCCTATTTAAATAAACTGAACTGAAATTGAATAGTTCATGAATTTATTAGTCCGGTCTTCACGACTTTCCACTTTAAACTCAAAAACTGCAGTTTTAAATCAGAAAGAGGTGAACCCTTCTTCTTGCTGAAACCTCGTGCACTCCTTGTTTGTTCTGTTTCCATGACTCACTGACCTCCAACCTTTTGTTCGCTCTTAAAAATAAAATCCCTAGAGGCTAATTAAACGCAGACCTGTCTATTTTAATCCCACATATTTCTGAGGAGCAACACGAGCAGGAAAGACGGGCTCTCTCTGGTAAATCTAGTTCCAACCACCTTGTCATATCACTTTATATTTTATAATAAATATAAATGCACGCTTCTAGGGAACATGTAGGCTCAACAGACTTCTCACAGGGGAACAGCCACGGACAGGAAGCACTGCTGAAGAGTTATCTGGACATATCAAACACAATCCATCCAATGTTACTGAAGAAATCA